GAGGGATGGGGAGGGGCACAGCCTTGCTGCACTCACATGGTCAGCGAGGACTGGATGCTGTAGTCCACCAGCAGCTTGGCCAGCACGGGCTGCAGGTCCTCCTGGGTGCTTTGCCTGCCAAAGCACCGGGGTCAGCGTCTCCCACCACCCAACAGCCCCCAGACAGCGTGGGACAGCCCCCACCCTCCCGGCAGGAGCCGTGGGGTCCCCCGTCCTGCCCACCCCAGGAGCCCTGCCTGCTTTCCAGTCCTTCCCAGACCAGCAACGCCGCCGGATACGATCCCGATCCGCCACCGCGTTTCCACCGAGCAAAAGAGGAGCCGACATCGCTCCGGGCGCCCTCTTCCCAGCCCATTTCCACCCACCCGGGGACACTCACGTGGACAGGTCCAGCCACACCAAGATCTCCCGTGTGTCCAGCATGATTCCAATGGCCTCGAAGGTGATGATCAGCTCCGCCTGCGGCACGGAGGGACCGTGGAGCAGCTCAGCCGGACCCCCACCTACCTGCCGAGCCCCCGGGCAGGGCTGGGGGGTGGCTGGGGAGAAGCACTTACCCTCTGGTTCCTCTTAAAAGGGTTGCCCAGCTCGCACAGCACCGTCTCCGCAAAGGTACAGGCTCCGCTCTGGGGGGGGGGGGGAAGGGGGGGGTCCCGGCAAAGCCCACCCTGGTCCTCCTGCCTTCTCCAGCCGGGGAGGGGGACGCCATCGCCTACCGGGCGGACGGAGGAGGGCAGCAGGCTGGCCGGCACCGTGACGTTGAGCAGCGCCTCGTGGGCGTCCTCGCCGTTGGAGGGGGTGGTGGGCACGTTGGTGATGTTGATGCTCAGGTAGAGCTTCCGCACGTCCCGGCTGTACTGCAGCACCTGGGTACCGTTCAACCTGCGCAGAGACCGTCCCCGCTCAGCACACGGGTGGGCCCACCCCAGCGGGACGGTGACCCCCTGATACAGCCTGGGGGGGGGGCTGTGGGGTGACCCATGGCTAAGGAGGGTGGCAGAGCGGGCGGCGGAGGTGGATGGGGACCCAGAGGGACCCGCTGTCACCTGGGCAGGGGCTGGTTCTGGTCGGTGACGAAGCTGCTCTGGAGCTGGAGGTTGCTGTAGCACTTGTTGTCGGAGCCGCACTCCTTCTGGAACTCGATCTGGAGGGACAGGGACGTGCCCATGAGCCTTCTCCGACCCCCCAGGCCAGGCTCGCCGGGGCGCTTGCACCTCCATCACCCCAGCACCTTGGTCTCATTCTCGTGGGACTGGTCCTGGTTGAGGACGGGGAAGGCATCGAGGGAGTGGGGACCCAGCTGGAAGGTCCTGGGCTTCTCCACCAGCGAGTAGTTCATGGAGAGCACGATGGGGTGCAGCTTGTCCCGGATGTTGTCCTGGGGGGGTGGCAGAAATCACAGCAAAGCCCCAACTCCCTCCCCGGCCCCCCCCACCCTCCAGCAGCAGCCGGGCAGCCCCCGGCCACGTCTGGGGTACCAGTTCCTGCTCACAACCTGCTTGCGAGACCCAACAAACTCATCACAGGATGGATGGAGGGATGGAAGGAAGGAAGGAAGGATGGATTTCCATCTCTTTTCCCATCCCTGCTGTTCCCAAGACCCTCTGCACCCCACCATCCCTCTTCCCCATCTCCCAAGGGCCGGTCCCCCGGCTCCGGCGCCACGTGCAGAGCAACTTGCAGCGCACACAAACACGCGCACGCACACGCGTGCGCTCGCACACGCTCACCAGCAGCAGGAGCTCCTTGGATTCACAGCGGGTCTTGGGCATGGGGAAGATGCCGTGGTAGGTGGCAGAGTGGGTCCCCAAAAACCTGACCCTGGGGGGGTGCCGGTCCTTGTCAGCCTCCAGGGTGTACTCCAGGGCTGCGGGGAGAGCGGAGTGCCGTGGGCGTTGCACACACGCGTGCCTCCAGCACAACCCCTTGCGCGCAAGCATATCCCCTGCGCACACCTGTGTGCATCCCCACACGCCGACACGTGTGCGTGTCTTCCCCTAAATGTGTGCTCACCCCCCCCACACACGTGTGTGTCCCCCGGGGCATGCACGCACTCTTGCATGAGTGCTGGTGGACGCGTGTGTCGTCGTGTGTCCCCCCCCCAGCACATTCCCACGTGCGCACGCACCCACGCCTGCGCCCCCGGGCACTCACTGATCTTCTCCTTGTACTTGGGGTCTCCAGCGCTCTGGTTGTAGGAGAAGCAGACGGTCACTGTGATACTGGGGGGGGGGGGGGGTGTTGATCACGAGCTCTGGGCAAAGATGGGGTGGGGGGGCCGTGAGCGAAGCCGCCGGCACCGCAGTGCCGCGAGCAGGGAGCAGGGCATCGGGGGAGCTCACCAGGAGTCGGGCGTGCACCGGGCGGGGTCCACCTTGCTGGGGGTCACCGTGAAGATCTTGTTCAAGATGTTGATCACGGGCCGAGCTCTGGGCAAAGATGGGGGTTGGC